ACTTGGAATAATTATAGATGAACCTGTTCCATCTGAACAGGAAACCCTCGTGGACCTACTGATAGAGTTATCAATGGCACCAAAACTCATGCCATTCCCTATGGTTTCATTCTCACAACTATGCTTGCACATTTCAAGGTACCTATGAAAAAGTGGGGTTAATACTCTGCTTGCTTGCGATTATGAAGTCAATGTCATTCTTAATGAACCTGGTTCATCTAAAAAGACACCTATCAATAGCAAAGTCAGAGTCTTGGTACAGGAGAGTGAGGCAAAGGATATTGAGATAGCAAGGCTGAAGACACGATTGGTTGAGGTAGAATCTGAGAGAGATGTTCTCAGAACTGAACTTGCAAGGGAAAAGGAGAAGAATGATGGAATTCTTCAAGACATGCTGAAACTTCTCCAAGCAAATAACCCAGCCCCTACATCTTCCAAGCCTTAAATCCTAGCCTAGTGTAGATCAACCAGTGACCTAGTTCGGGACGTTTTGTTCTTTTGCTCATGTTTTCAGTATTTTTATTTCTTCTTATGCTTTGTGGTAGAATCTTATCAAACATCAATGAAATTCACTGTTTTTGCTCTAACTGTTTGTTTATATTTCTTTGATGGTTGAAATTCTTAGTTTGATCTATGATGATTAATCCATATTTGCATTTGAAGTAGCCCCAGTGGCCATGAGTAAGCTTTAAAATCTGGTTATCTCACATTTTTTATGCAACTTTTCGATGATGCCAAAAGGGGGAAAAAGGTTGTGATTTAAACAAGTGATGTTTCCACTTTGAACAGTGATGTTTATAACCTAATGTACCTGGTCCTTGATGATAAGTGATATAAAGGAAAAATATTTCTAACATTGTGTTGATGTTTGAGCTGAGTTCTGGCAGGGCCTAAGTGTATGAAAAGCACAGTGTTAGTCATCATCAAAAAGGGGGAATTTGTTGGCCCAAGTAAAGGTTAGTTTTGAAGACTGACAAAGGAACTCAGACATGAACCAGGTCCATCCAGTGGTCCATCCCTCGGTGCACAAAAACGGGCAGATTCAATAATGTGGGTTGCACGTGAAGGAGATAAGCTTAACCTGGTGTATTTAATATCTCCTGATCGAAAAGGTTGCATAATTGATAAGAAGAAGGAGTCCTTAATCAAAGAGAACACAATTCAAGATAGGGAAGAAGTTAGAAGTTGAAATCAACTAGAACTCTTCCACCAAGGAAGAGTTGCATCAGAACTCTAGTTATTTCTTCATCTACTAACTCTATAAATTGCAGGATGTTCTCACATTAAAGTGTTGCACAAAAATGGAGAAGTTAAACGTGAATTGGGAGCAAAATAGCAAGGCTTTTTGCAAGCAGTTCGTGTGTGATTCAAGTGTGCAAACCAGAAGCTACATGAACCAGATTGAAGAACCAGCTCCATAAAGAGTTTTATGTGTCTTTCTTTATTTCTAGTTCAATTGTAGTAGGTGTTTCATATTGTACCTTTCAGCTTTATCTAGAAGCAATTGTAATAGGTATTTTGAGTATTCAAGTTAGAGTTAACTTGAAGTTGTCGCAGCAGTTAGAGGCTGGTTGCCACAACGGGATTAGAGTTAATCCTTAGGTTTACAAAGAGTTTTGTAAATGCAGTTTTGGCTCAGTGATTTTAGTGGAAGTTTGGGAAAATCCTACTGAGTAGTAGGTCGTGGTTTTTTCACCTTTTGAGCCAGGTGTTTTCCACGTAAAATCTCTGTGTTCTTTATTTTATGTACGTTTAATTCCGCAAACAGTAGTAATAAGTACACCTAGAAGAACCAGGTCCTTCCAGAAGCAGTTTAAGCGAAAAATTGAGTACCACACAAATCACCCCCCCTCTTGTGTGGTATTGACGTTTAGAACATCAGTTTGTCACTTCCTTTTAGTCCAAAGTTTGGACTTGTTAATTACTGAGTTGGTATACTCACGTTACCCCCTGCACCTCGTGTGCAGATCCAGGCGATACCGGTCGCAGTGGCAATTGCTGATTGAGGTTCTAGAGTTTGGAGACTATCGAGGTAGCTGCATGGTGTTCGCGGGCCTTGACTCCCCTTCTTTATCTTTGTCGTACTTTCAGTTTATATTTATAGTCACTGTAGCAGACTGTATGCTTATTTAGACGCTCATGCACTCAGTGACACTCTGGTTTTGGGCTGGATTGTATCACTTTGGGGTTTTCTTAGTTTCAAACAGTTTTTCTTTAATGTTAAATGCTTCCATTAATGTTTTCAAACTTATTGTTGTTAGTGTTGGGTTGTTGAGTTGAGGCTGACCTAGTTTCATGATATGCGCCATCATGACGGTTGATTTTGGGTCGTGACATACCTAATTCTTTTTATGAGGCCAAGAATACCATCAAAAATTTTTGTCTTGATTATGTCAAGATAGATGCTTGCCAAACGATTGCATGTTGTTCTGGGGAGATGATGCTAATGATGACACATACAAGCATTGTCATACTTTTAGATGGAAGCCAACTAAGAAGAGCAACAATAATCAGATGTCTACTACAGGAAAGAAGAAAAAGAAGCAAAAGATACCTGCAAAAATTTTACGTTACTTTCCACTAAAATCAAGGTTGTAGAGATTGTGCATGTGCTTTAAAATTGCAGAGCATATGAGATGTCATGTGAAGGATAGTAACAGAGATGGAACCATGAGGCATCCCAGAGATGGTGAGGCATGGAAAAGATTTGATACTACTTTTCCAGAATTTGCTTCTGATCCTAGAAATGATCGATTATGCCTAGCTAGTGATGGTTTCAATCCTTTTGGGGTGATGAGTACTAATTATAGCATTTGGCCAGTGATTTTGGTTCCACATAATCTTCCACCTTGGTTGTGTACGAAGCAACCAAATTAGGCGGCAAAAGAGATATGTGTAAGACAGCTTTTTATGGAGCCCCAGTAATTGCTATTAGTCTTTTTTGTTGATATATAACTCATCTATAAGTTATTTATTCTCATATTTAGACATTCCTTTCGCAAAAGTTTGATATCAGTTAAGGAACACCTTCCCCAATCTCATAAAAGAAAAAGTTTAGAGATTCTCCTTCTTTGGTATCAAAATCAAGCTAGTATATATAACTTAGGATTATTCATGTAGAGAGAACAACAAGCTTGCACTACATAGACCTAATACCTCATAGTAACATTGGTAAAATTTTCCATTATATAAAACCATCAGAAAGCACAAGGTTAAATAGTTTTGTCCTGCGGCAGCTTTATTCAATGTATGTTTCTTTTCTGAATTGATATTGCATGAGTTTGTCGTGTTTATCCTTCTCTTTAGCAAATGAACTGATTCTAGATTGATGTTGAGGTGAAGTAAAAAATGGATTCTGCTTACCTTCTAGTATTTCATGTGCTTTGTGGGAAGTCAAATTGCCTGGCCAGATGAAAATTAAATCTCCTTACAGCAAAGTAATGGGCAAGTAACCTTGCCAAATCCATTCATAATTAAAGTTTAATTTTGTATGTGCACAACAGAATAGCCTTAACTGGGGTAGATTTGTTCATATCTCAGAATAAGGGAGGATTATATGTTGCTAATTGCTGCTGTCACAAATCCTTATTATGATAAATTTTGTGTTACTAACTGCAGTGCCAAAGTTTCAGCACTTGTTTTATAACAGAAAAAGATATTATTCTTCTATTGTTTTTATTTTTTAACTTGTCAATCACTGATTGAAGTAAGGACATTTGCTTTTGGCGTGTAATGTATTTAGGAAAAAATTGAACTAGCATTGAGCCAAAGCACCGTGGATGAGTCTGAAATTTCGCCAAATGATGTTGTTGGTAAGGTGTTGATAAAAGAGCATTTTGGAAGGTTAAGGTGCCTAGGATTAGGAGTTGTTCATGGCAGAGCGTTTAGACAAAAGACCTCGTTATAGTGATTTGTGTTGGTTCTTGATAAAAGAAATTAAGGGAAATAACTGGGAAGATGACAAGATAATAGAAAAAATATACTGGAATAGATGTAAAAGGAACTGAAGCTGAAAATACTATATTATTTTACTGCATTTGGACTACAATTTATAAGAGAAATACTAACTTAAAAGACCTAAAAATCAGCACAAAATATTCTGAAATAGCTAACTCCTAGAGACTAGTTCACTCCTAAAGACTAGTTCAAAATTATTTCAAATTCAAACTAAATTACTGCAGTAAATAGCTGAAACAGTAAAATAATTTTACTGAGAGCAGCTTCTAAAGCATATTTCTAACACTCCTCCTTGCTTTTGAAGCTGCAAATTCTGAATTTTTCCCTTGTAAACCTTTTACTGGAAGCGACTTTGTACGTAAATCTGCCAACTGATCTTTGGACTTGCAGTGAATCGAGTTCACTTTTGTATTTTGCTGCATCTCATGATTGTTAATGAAATAAGTTGGCTCGTTTTTCAGCTTCATTTGCATCTTGCCTTGAGACTTGTCAATTTTCTTCCAGAATTACATTTTCTGAAATATTGACAACTTCTTCCTTACCTTATTTTCACATATGTCCTCAGTTGGAGAATTATCTACACTTAGTAGATTCTTTTGGCTCCATTCTTCATCTTCGGTTGGATCAAATGAGAAATTTTTACCTCTCATTTTAACCCTTAAAATCTCAAGTCCAGTTGCATCATAAATGAAACAATATTTGTCTTCAAAGGATACTTTAAATCCTTTTTCCATTAGTTGTCCAACACTTAATAAATTTTGATCAATATCAGGAACATAAAGAACATCTGAAATTTTTTTAGTACCTGAATTTGTTGGGATTGCAACAGTTCCTTTTCCTTTAGCAAGAATATAATCACCATTTCCAATTCTGACTTTCTTATTTCCTATAGACGTGAACTCTTTGAAAAGATTTCTGTCATATGTCATGTGGTTTTTACAACCACTGTCAATCAACCAAAAATCAGATTTTTTGGTTGAAAGAATAGTTGCCACAAACAAGTGATCTTCTTCTTCTTCATTGGCGACTTGGGCATCTGCTTCATGCTTTTGATATTTGCCTTTGCAAATTACAGCTTCATGACCAAGTTGGTTGCAAATTTTGCACTATGCATCTGGCCTCTTCCAACATTTGAATGGTGGATGACCTTTTTTGCCACAGTGCTGACAAGGCGGGTAATTTTTTTTAAATTACCCTTGCTTTGAGTTTTGTGGTTGGCTGCCAGGGCTTCTTCAACCATACCATCTTGCCTCATAAGCCTCCTTTGCTCTTGTGCCTGCAATGTATTTAACAATTCTGCCAAGGTAATCTTGGATAGATCCTTTGTATTTTCCAAGGTAGTTATGGATACTTCATATTTTTCAGGCACCGTAACAAGAATTTTTTCAACAATTCTTGAATTTTTAAATTTAGTACCAAGCAATCTTACCTTGTTAACAATGCCAAGCAACCGATCTGAGTATTCTTTGACAGTCTCAGATTCCTTCATTTTTTGCAACTCGAATTCCCTTATTAAATTCAACACCTTCATGCCTCGTATTCTTTCATCTCTTGTATATTCTCCCTTCAGATAATCCCAGATTTCTTTTGCTGATTTGAGAGCCATAACTCTCGTGAAAATTGTTGCAGACACACCAGCAAACAAAGTTGCTTTCGCCTTTGATTTCCTGGTTTTCTTTTCCTTGTGACTCTTGATCTGGGCCACCGTGGGATTGTTAGGCAGCGGATGAACATCATAATCCTCTTCCACGGCCTCCCAAAGATCTAAAGACTCCAAGTAAGTCTCCATTCTCACTGCCCACAGTTGGTAATTTTCACCATCAAAGACCGGAGGAGCCAATTGAGAAAAACTCATTTCAGTCTCCATCTCACTCAAGAAAAGATTTTACTTAGGTCCCTTAAGAAGATAGCTCTGATACCAATTGTTGGTTCTTGATAAAAGAAATTAAGGGAAATAACTGGGAAGATGACAAGATAATAGAAAAAATATACTGGAATAGATGTAAAAGGAACTGAAGCTGAAAATACTATATTATTTTACTGCATTTGGACTACAATTTATAAGAGAAATACTAACTTAAAAGACCAAAAAATCAGCACAAAATATGCTGAAAATAGCTAACTCCTAGAGACTAGTTCACTCCTAAAGACTAGTTCAAAATTATTTCAAATTCAAACTAAATTACTGCAGTTAATAGCTGAAACAGTAAAATAATTTTACTGAGAGCAGCTTCTAAAGCATATTTCTAACAATTTGAATGCTTCAAGTAATAATAATGGTTCATGTTATTCTCAACGCCAAGAGAAGTACAATCAAATGTTGAATGCTCACAATCAAAGTCAAGAGAACTACAGAGAAATGATTAATGTTAACACTCAAATAATGAATGCTTTTAAGGCGTATATGATAATGAAAGAAGGGAAGATACCTGAAGAATTTGCAGGGATATTTGTTTCTCCTCCTCGTTCAACGGTAAGAATAGTTCATAACTTTCTTATTTAATTTTGAAAGTATGATTGATCAGACCAAGAATTAATCTAAATTGGGATACCTGAAGAATGCTTTCTTGCTTCTTAGATTCACAAACTTCGCAAGTCAATTTAATCTTTTCCATTTACATATCAGAATAAAAGAAGTTTATAGTTCCGCAAAGCCAACGTCCTTTATTTCTTTATTTCATTCATTCATTTGTTTAGATAATCATATTCCCTCTAGTTGTTCTGCTTTTCTTGACATCCACTCTCTCGAGGCTTGTGAATCTTGCGCTTTTACTGTCAACTGGAAAGATATTTCAGTAGCCAAATTCCTTGGAATTGATCGCTGAAAGTATGAGCCGAAGACAATTGGCTATTTGAGTTGCAGGCTATCTGAAGTTGTTTTCTTTATGAAACAAAAGTATGGAAGCATAAAATTTAAGAATAATCACTTTTTTCAACGTCCAGTTAGAGTTTACTTACACTTTTGTGCTATGTGATGTTTGACATACCTTACAACATTCGATGTGTCCTAACTTTGTGCCATAAATATTCTCTTGACTAATAGATAGCTTTAGATAAGTTACTGATACTTGACTGAAGCTAAGTGATTAGTATTAGTTAGGATAATGTTGAGGTACTTTTTGTTAATTATATTTTATTTTGATTGTTTTGTTGCCAAGTGATGCGGCTAGTGGATCCGTTTCACCAATGGATATAAGAAGATCACCCGCTGGAAGTAATCCTAATGGCAACCATTGAAGTTGTTTGCAAATGTATTAGATAATTAAGTATCGTACTCGATTGAATGGTCATAGTAGTTCTTTTGTCCATAATGGTTGGAGTGGATGTTCTGCTTAAAGTTAGTTTTAAGATGTAACGACCCGGCCGGTCGTTTTGAGAGTTAGAGCCCCGATCGCCTATTAACTACTTCCCCCGTATCTATTTCTGCTATTGTGACTTGCCGAGAGGTTTCATTTTGGTTTTTGAAAGTGTTTGGGACACTTAGTCCCTAAACGGAGGCTTAAGTTTTAGAATTTGGACCGTGGTCAGAACTCTGTGAAAATGACTCCGGAATGGAGTTCCCGTCTATCCCATTAGCTCCATTGGGTGATTTTGGGATTATGGGCGTGTCCTGATTGTGTTTTGGAGGTCCGTAGCCCATTTAGGCTTGAAATGGCGAAAGTCAAATTTTTGGAGTTTTGGGCCGATAGTAGGAATTTTGATATTCGGGGTTGGAATTCGATTTTGGGAAGTTGGAGTAGGTCCGTAGTGTTGATATGACTTGTGTGAAAAATTTGAGGTTATTCGGACGTGGTTTGATTGGCTTCGGCATCGGTTGTGGAAATTTGAAGTTTCAAGTTCATTAAGTTTGGATTGGAGGGTGATTTGTGTTTTTGGCGTTGTTTGATCTGATTTGAGGGCTCGACTAAGTTCGTATAGTGTTTTAGGATTGGTTGGTATGTTTAGTTGAGGCTCCGGGGGTCTTGGGTGAGTTTCGGGTGTTTGACGGATCAAATATTGAAGTTGTGTTGTTGCTGAAGTGATCAGATTTCTGGAGTTTTCGCACCTGCGGTGGGGAGACCGCAGGTGCAGGATCGCATGTGCGGAGGGAGAAGCCTAGAAGCGAAAAAATGGAGGAGTGCAACGGGTTGCAGGTGCGAGGTGCGTTCCGCATATGCGATGCCCGCAGATGCGGTGGAGAGACCGCAGAAGCGGTGAAGAACCGTAGAAGCGAACAACTTTCCGCAGGTGCGGCCCCCATTTCCGCAGAGCGGACCCAGCTTTCATAAGTGACTTTCGCACCTGCGATGTTTTCCTGCAGGTGCAGTTGATGTCTCGCAGAAGCGACATAGCTGGGCAGAAAAGAGAGAAAATCGAGGGTTTGTATTCATTCCTCAATTTTGGACTTGAGAGCTCGGATTTTGGCAATTCTTTGAAGGATTTTCAGAGGAAGTTATTGGGTAACGATTACTAACTCGTTTTTGGTTGTTTTCCATTAATCCATTGTTGATTTCACGTTTTAATTAGGGATTTGAGTTGGAAAATTGGGGAAAAATTTGGAAAAAGTTCTTAGGCCGAATTTTGGGATTTTGATCGAGATTTTAGTATCGAATTTGAGTACATTTGGTATGGTTAGACTCGTGAGTGAATGGGTGTTCATATTTTGTGACTTTTACCCGATTCCAAGACGTGAGCCCGGCGAGGCTTTTTGGGCGATTTTTCAATTTCTTGCTTTAGCTTTGATTTCATTAGGTAGATTAGTTCCTTGTAGTTATAATTATGTTATGTAATTGATTTTGGCTAGATTTGGGACAATCGGGGTCGGATACTAGTGGAAAGAGCATTGTTACGGAATGATTGAGCTTGGTTCGAGGTAAATGGCTTGCCTAACCTTGTGTGAGGGAACTCCCCTTAGGATTTGGTACTGTTTGATATATGAGCGACGTGTACGTGAGGTGACAAGTGCATACACGGGCTATTTGTTGAAAAACTCCGTTTCCATTAAGTAAAATATCTGTTTTCCTTTAACTGAGCAACACTAGCATATGTAACTATCCTGTTTAGTTTAGGACAGCATGTCCACGTGTCTTAATTGCTTATCTGAACTCTGTGCAGCATGCTTAGTGAATTTCCTGCTTCTTCTTTGACTTGTATTTAGTCTAAATTGTAGGATTTCTGTGTTGTAGTTGAAATTCTATTGTTTAGCTGCATATGTACTTTGGGACTACGGAACGGTATTCCAGGTGATCCCCATGTACTGTATACTTACTTTGGGACTACGGAACGGTATTCCGGGAGATCCCCCAGCACTGTATATTTACTTTGGGACTACGGAACGGTATTTTGGAAGATCCCCCTGCATATTTACGTTTGCGACTAGGGGATGGTATCCTGGGAGATTCCCTGTTGTTATCACTGTGTTCCGAGCTGTTGTCTTTCATTGATTCTAGTCCTATTAGATTTTCGTATTTATTTTACTGTGATATTCGTTCTGTCTTATTTTTATTATATTTATACCAGTAGGACCCTGACCTGATCTCGTTACTACTCGGCCGAGATTAGGCTTGGAACTTACTGGGTACCGTTGTGGTGTACTCATGGCCTTTCTTGCACATATTTTTCGTGTGCAGATCAAGGTTCATCTTACTAGCCTCATCACTAGTTGCAGTCGCGGCTGCTTATTGTAGACTTCAAGGTACATCTGCCCGCGCCCGCAGATCCTCGGAGTCCCCCTCTATCCCCCTATGTTCATTTTTCCTTCTTTCTGTAGAAATGATGTATAGAACAATTAAGACTTCTTAGTATTTTGTGACTTACGGTATTCCAGGTTTTGGGAATTGTTTGGTACATTTCAGAGGTGATAATTGCATATGCCGAGTGGCATTCAGTTGCATATCAGATATTTGTCACTGTTAATAGTTAATGTTCATGCTTTTATTTTATTTTCGCAAAGTGTTAGGCTTATCTAGTCGTAGAGACTGGGTGCCGTCACGACAACTCACGGAGGGAGAAATTGGGTCGTGACATAAGACTAATTATAATATTGATGTTTTGTGTTTAATGGTTTGAGTAGTTATGTTTAAAGCAAATATTTGAAACTAATGATAATTTACTTTAATGTATTTTATGATTTATTAATATATTGATGTAACTTGAATCCAGTAAGCAATTTATATAATTTATTGATGCTTCATTATATTAATATAATTGAAATAAGACCAGTTATGGAGTACCATTGCGGAAAAAAATAAAATTCAATGGATAGCAGAGGTTATAACTGCCGCTATTTAACCTTTAATAATAATGTGTTATAAATTTGTGGGGTTAAATAAAAAAATTGCAGGGGTTTAGACTTCCGCTATTTTTTAATAAGTTCTTTAACAGTTAAAACTATCAAATTGCGGAGGTTATACCGCCGTTAAATACCCGCACCTATATGATAACGACAGTCTGTCAAAAAACCCCCGCAAATTGATTGCGGCAAACATTATTGCAGGATTTTGGAAACCACCGTAAAAGTATATTGTGGAGATTTCTTACCACCGCAATATGTAAATAAAACCTCCGCAAATTTAGCATTTTTTTTAGTGTAATTAGTTATGCTGGAATTACAATATCCAGGTATTATTTGTTATCGACTGTTATATGTTGTATTAATCCTGGGATTATCAATTTATTGGTTTATCTTGATATTATTATTTCACCCTCTAGTAGGTATAAGTTATCGTGATAATATTGGGATAACTTATCCCGTAATTAGCGACCAATCATAAGTAATCAATCATAAGTCAGAAAAGAGAGATAATTATTAACCTGAATAAGAAGCAAAGGGCAATTAAGAACTCCAGCAGAGTCAGGAACATCATAAAGAAGTTCTTCTAAGCATGG